GTAGACTGTGCTGACTGGAAGCCCCTCCTCAGTGTCAGCTTTGACAGAGTAAAAGGGGACTCCCTAAGCTCCTTGTGTTCTTAAAAGACTGCCTTTCCCCCAAGATTTCACATTGACGCGGCACAATCAGGAGGATTTGGGGCCATAGAGCTTCTTTCACTCATGGTGAGACATTCTCTCCTGGCCTTAATACCATCGGCAGTAGTGATGAGAGCACACTTCCTTTCACCCCACCTCCAGCCAACTCTCTCTATCAGAGAGGCGAATTCCATCACCCTAAGAGATTTCATTAGGATTAATCTCTACATTCTTCTATACTTCAGTAACCACGCTAAATCCAAAGCTTCCAAATTATCCCTCATCACCTAAACTCTCCCATAAAGTTCTGTATTTCTCCAGTATGCCCAACTGCAAGTATTTTCCAACCACCTCCCTCAAACCAAACCCTTATATCGTGTCTGGAACTGCATCATTTAATGATAGTTTTCTAGATAAATTTTAATTTGTGTGCATGACAGATAAAAATTAATGAATTTCTCATTATTCATTTTATTTCTAGTACCATGTAAAATGACTGGCATAGTAGATGGTCAGGGATTATCTGTGTAGTTGCCTTAATTCTTACACTGTAATAGCTTCTTTTAAACAAGTCGATTTATCTGATTTTGTTGTAGACGAATTTATCCTCCTGAAGATAAAACGCTTCTTGAAAAGTATGAAAATTTATTGGCTGCTGCCTTTCAGACCTTCCTTTCAGGAAGAGCAGCTTCATTCCAGCGAGAGCTGAACAATCCTTTGAAAAAGATGAAGGTAAAGGAATAAGTGTTTATAAAGGGAGAAAGCAATTAAGCCAAACAATATCTTTAAAAACAACCTACCTTAGTCCCACTTATAAAAACATTTTACTTTTAAGATGCACTTCCCTTCCAGTTTAACAATTGGTAACATTTCATGACGAACCAAGTAATTTAAAAAACAACATGTCTAACAGACAAATTATGCAGGAGAGAATGTTGATATTATCTTGTAATATCAACCTAACGTAAGAGATGTGTATACGTAACTGAATTAAAAAATCCATTGAATTTACCAAGTGGTTTGTGATATTCTCATTATTTGTATTGTAACTAACATTATGTAGTATTTTTTTCATGATACTGCATAGACCTGACATACGAGAAGTAGTGAGAACACACATACACGTAAACCTTCCCCCCCTCCAACACACACAGTAATCTTTTCACCTTACTAAAAGGTCTATCAGTTATCTATTGCAAAATAGTAACCACTTCATTTATTTGCTCATTATTTTACACTCTTGGCTGGGCTCACTTCAGTGGTTCTTCTGCTTGTCTTGCTTGGAATGAATCGGATATGATTTATCTGAAAGGTCAATTGGGACTGTAAATCTGGGATGGCTTTATTCATATGTTCAGTGCCTCAGATGGGATAGCTGGAATATCTGGGGAGTTGGCTGGGTGTCTCTTTCTCTCTACTGGTCTCTCAGAAGTGTAGTCAGATCTCTTAATATGGTAGCTTGATGTTCTGAAAGGGAGAATTTCAAGAGGACAAGCTCAGTGTGCAAGTGCTAATCAAGCCTTAGCTTGCATCATGCTTACTAATGTCTCATTGGGCAAATAACTTTATGTGGACTTGTAAAAATTGTTTGTACTTTATATTACTTGACATCTCTCTACAGTGATATACCCCGGGTATCTTGGCTCTCCTGTTATATTGGGTGATTTAAAAATCATGATAAATATTATCTTTTCACTCAGAGTCTGCAGCATAAGGGTATAAAGCTACTTTTAAGCAGGCTAGACCTGAGAGACAGAAGCAGAAGGAACATTGTTTACCTTAATGCTCTTTTCCTCCAGATATCCCTCCTTCAACATATGTAAAGGTTTTACCATTATAATTATGTTCTGTAAACCTTTTATTTTTCTTGACTCCAGTAGTGAGAGACCTTTGTTCATTTTTTTCTTCAGATGTTCATGTTATTTCTCTCTCCTGTGAATAAAGGATCTGTTCCATCTTTCCATTACTCTGCTCTCCCACCTCTACTTTTTCTGCTAAAAAACTTAGGGATTTTGGAGCCAGACCTAAATCCAAATTTCCTCAACACTAAAATGGTGGTATTAGATCTATACTTGTCAGATTGGTTGTGAAAATAAAATCAAGATTAATTAAGATAGTCTATTAAAGTACTTGACACATAATAAATAGGCTTCAAACCTAATTCCCTTCTCTCTACTGTTCAAAATTTAATTTAAATGTCAGCACTTCGCCTGCATTGTTCCATTGGCCTGCAAGACTGTTCTTATACAAATATCACAGTCTTCTCTTCTGCTGCCTTGTAGTTAAGTATTGAAGTCAGGTAGTGTAAGCCCTTCAATTTGTTGTTTTTTTTTTTTCCAAACTCTTTTGTATTTTCTAGGTCTTTTTACATTTCCATGTAAATTTTAGAATCAGCTTGAGAATTAAAATAAACAGGTTGCTGGGATTTTAATTGGGGCTGTGGGGAATCTGTAAAACAATTTCCGGAGAATTAACAATACTGAGTCTTCTGATCCATTAATGTGGTATATCTCTCCATTTACTTGAGTCTAATTACTCAGTTATGTTTGCAGTTTTTGGCATGTAGTTCTAGCACAGCTTTTACTAACTTTATTCTTAGTCGATATTTTTGCTACTATTGCCAATAAATACTTTAAAATTTTTTTCTTTTTTTTTGGTTTGTTGCCAGGATGTAAATATCTGATTATTTTTGTATATTGCCTTTGTATCTAGCAATTTTTATATACTGTATTTTTATTAATTGTCATTTCAAATTATTTTCTGATGTTTATTTTGGTTATTTAAAAGTTTGTTCCTTAATTTCCATGCATTAAAATTTGTGATTTTCTTTTGTTAGGGATTTCTACTTTAGTCTATTACTCTTAGAAAACAAATACTGATTTTAATTTAGTAAAATGAATTGAGATTTGCTTTATATCTCAGTGTAGTACTTATTTTACCGAATGTTCCAAGTCTCCTTGGAAATAATATATATACTACAGGTGTTGGTTATAGAGCTTTATTCATGTCATTTAAGTAAATTTGACTATTAGTGTTGTTCAAATATTCTGTATCCTTTTTGATTTTTTTGGCCTACTTGATGTAGCAATTACTGAGAGAGATTTGTTAAAACTCCCATCTGTGATTGTGGATTTAGTTCTATCAATTTTTGTTTCATATACTTTGAAGTTATGAAGGTGTCTTCCTAATGAATTCACCTTCTCTATTTCATCATTATGAAATGTGTATCTTTCTCTTGGATAATATTCTTTGTCTTAATATTTACTTTGTAGGATTAATATAGCCATCCTAGTTTCTTTCTTATGATTACTGTTGGAATGACATTTTTTTCTATCCATTTATTTTCAACTTGTCTGTATTCTTATAATATCTCTGGTAAATAACATATAATTGGGTCATATTTGTTTTAAAATCCAGTCTGACTATGTGTCTTTTTTCTTTTACACAATTACTATAACTGGGTTTACATCTGCCTCTTGCTCTTTTTTTTCCTAACCCATCTGTTTATTATTCCTTTTTTGCTTCTTTTCTTTATTCTTTTGGACAATAGACACATCAGAGTCTACCTACAGAGTGGGAAAATATTTTTGCAAATATTTTTGCAAATATTTTTGCATATATAGAATAAAGGGTTAGTGGCCAAATATATAAAGAATTCATACAACTCAGTAACAACAACAGAACAGAGCAACCATGTGATTAAAAAATGTACAGAGGAATTTAATAGACATTTTTCCAAAGAAGACTTTCAAATGACCAACAGGTATATGAAAAGATGCTCCACATCACTAATCATTAGGGAAATGCAAATTAAAACTACAATGGCATATCACTTTACATTCATTAGAATGGCTATTATCAAGAAGATGAGATAACAAGTATTGGCAAGGATGTGGAAAAAGGGAACCCTTGTACACATGATGGGAATGTAAATTGGTTTAGCCATTGTGGGAAACAACAACCTAAGTGCCTGTCAGTGGATGAATGGATATAGATGATATGGTATATACATACAGTGGAGTATTATTCTGTAATGAGAAGAAAGGAAATCCTGCCATTTGCAACAACATAGATGGACCTTGAGGGCATTGTGCTAAGTGAGATAAGTCAAGCAGAGAAAGAAAAACACTATATGATATCATTTATGTGTGGAATTAAAAAAAAAACTTGTAAAAAATAGTAAAATTATGATGGCCACATGCTGGTTGGTGGTGTATAAGAAAGGGACAGATGTTATTTAAGGCTACAAACTTGAAACTAGTAGTAAGTAAATCCTAGAGATCTAATGCACTGTATTACAGTGAATATAGACAATGATGTTGCATTATAATCAATAAACTTGCTAAGAGACTAGGTCTTCATTATTCCCACCACAAAAAAAGAAATGATAATTATAGGGCTTGATAGAGGAGATAATTATCACTGCAATGGCAATCATATTACAATATATAATGCATCAAATCAATATGTTATACCCCTTCAATTAACACAATGTTATATGTCAAATATATTTCAATTAAAAGTAAAATTAAAATAAGAAAAGTTGAACTGAGTCCAGGCTGGGTTGTAGTAGTTTTTAGCTTATCTCTGGTTTCAGATATGATGAGAGTGAAATCTGTTAAGTGTTTGTCACAGGCCTCATTCTCTATTGGTATCTAAGAACTGTTAAGACTACAGAGAAGTATTTCTGGCTTTCCAGCCATGCCTTCATCTTCCTAGACCATTTCTTACTCACTCTTTGGGGCTCCTCTAGATGTCACACTAGCCCACATGACCATGGAAAGCTCGACTGGATTCTCTTAATTCCAGCAGAATCTCTCTGTCTATTCTAGACCTGATCTTTGCCCATCAGTGTCCAGACTTGACCCCAGGGTAGAAAGTGGGCCACTCATCTCTGCTATCCTAGCAAGAAAATTTTTCTCTCTGGTATTTAGTTCCTTTATATTGTTTTTTTTTTTTTTTTTTTAATTCACAGCTTTCTGATGTAAAAATATAATTATTCAGTTTATCTGTCTTTTTCTAGCTGTTATGATGAAAGTATTGTCTATTATGACTTTCTCCTAATCAGAAGCAGAACTACATGAATTTCTTTTTAACTATCTTGTGCCTCGGAATTTATCGTAGGCTTATTATTTAATCACTTTATAACAAGAGTTTTTTGGTATTTTAATAATGAAACTTTCTTAGATTGGTATAAAGAGTAACTTATTTTACAAATTTCAATTGCACAGTGAGATTTTTAGTTTCTTCAGAAACCTTTTTAAAGAGACACTGAAATATAAATCATATAAGTAAAGATGTGTTTTTATAGGTTGAATAAATAGCTCAATTAAAAAGTTGATTATTCTTTTAGTATAGGTGTTAAACATTCCTATTGATCCAGTTTGCTCAACATTCACTTGGATGTTACTTTCTATAACTTTTCTCTTTGGCTTTAAAATGACCCTTAAAGAAGATAAAAGAAGGTATTAACCCTATAGAATGAAAACTTTTCATAAAGTTCAAAAGATACCCTTGTGTAGTAAAATTTTGAGTTTCATTAAATTGTGCCCATTAATCAAATACTAACATTAACTATTTAGCTAATCCTCATTTTTCTATCTTAAGTCATAATATTGTTTTGCACTAACCAATATAGAAATGATTCATGAAATTGTGGTCTAGAAAATTAGAATGACTTTTAGAAATTTTAAAGTATCTAACAGGCTAATTTATTGAATTATTATACTGTAAGATTTTAATAGTGTACTAGAACATAAGGGTAAATTTGTTTATGATAATACATAATAGATTTTAGCTATGTGTTATTTATATTGTCAGATTTTAGTGAAAGTTACTTCAAGAGAGTTTGCCATGACCCTTTATTACTTACTTGATCTGAGCAACCTTCATTAAATAGTTTCAGAACTCTCTGTTGTACACTATTTTATGGAGATTGATGAACTCAGAAAAATTCTGGAGTCCATTAGTGATCACAGTTTTAATTACATATCTCTTTAAGGAGGAAGATATTTTGGATCTTCTGGAACAATGTGAAATTGATGATGAAAAGTTGATGGGCAAATCTGCCAAGCCTCGAGGACCAAAGGTGCAGTACCTCTACCTTTCTTAGTTCAAAGTAGTTGCTACTAAGTATAGTTTGTTTTCGCTTTATATTTTTCACTATAACAATGACTGATGCCACCTCAGGGGCATCCACTGCCCTCTCTTTACATCACTTTATATCTCTAGTACCCAGTACCTTTCAAGGAACTATAGGGATTATGTATCCAGTACATATAGACTTGGGAAGATGATATTATCTCACACACTTAGAAGTTCTGTTTTGTTTCGTTAGTTTCCCTCATTTGTTGGATTCTTTTTCTAATCCCCCAATGAGTCCGGGCCAAGAGGGACCCAGAACCAGTACCTCTATTCTGTACCCGGAATTACATTTTCCTCATATCTCTAGACATATAATTATCAGAGAAGTGTAGCATTATAGATAAGGCAAATCATTACTCTAAAAATCCTTATAAGGAGCCCCATCTTTCTCTGACTCAGCAACATTGAAATTGTGAATTTTTAAGATAAATAACAAGCTGCCATGGAGACAAAAATCGGCAGATGTTTGCTTTACCTTCATCTGCTTTGTGGCGGTGACATCCGTATATTCTTTTGACATAAGTAAAAATTCTTGCTGGTAGAGTAGGGAGGAGTCGAATTTGTAAAATCTTGGAAACATTTTTCATTCTGCTCTTTTTACTTTAGGTTTCAGCAATACTAAGCTATCTCTATGTCTTTATACACATCATCCTTTTTCAGTGCCTCTGGAATTCCTGCCTATATTTAAGAAATCATTTATTTGGTGCTTGATTAATTAGAAACCCTCTCCTGATCCAGCTGAAATGCTGTTGCCTTTGTGAATTATTCCTCATTCCCTCAGTTAAGTTTAGATCTTCCTCCTTCTCCTCTTCCTCCTGCTTTACCGCAAATAACACTTTTATAGAGCAGTTGTGACAAATAATTGCTTGCATGTTTGTCTTAGTATGAGCTTATATGTTCCTTGAGGGTAGGAAATATATTTTCACCTTTACATCTCTAGTACCTAGCACAGCATATGGCACTTAGTAGGTTCTCAAAAACCATTAGATAAATTTGTTGAATATGTCTGCAAGGACCTCATTGGCTAGTGGAAAAGCCGATAGGTGAACCAAAAACCAGAGTATATGATGGCAAATACTGTAATAAAGGGAGTGGAAATGCTGGAGCAGTATAGAGAAGAAAGGGATTGGTAGACTATAGATGGCTTCATAAATGCATTTTGAACCAGGTCTTGAAAAATGAGTAGTGCTATAAACATTTAAGTTGAGTGGGAAGACGTTCAGGGAGAGGGGACATTAAAGACAAAGACATGGAACAGTGATACTGCTTAGGGTGTTAGAGAAACATGAAGAATTTGGTATGACACAAGTGGAAGATTCTCAGAGAGTAAAACGGTGCATGATGAACCTGACAAAAGAAATGTAATTGGTTGAGACCGGAGACCTTGGATGTCAGGCACTGTTCTTTTGAACTATATGCTCCATATTGAAGAATTGTGGAAGATGTCATTGGTATGCCTTCAAAACAAATATATTTTAGAGCATCTGTACAAGTGAATACCTTCGTGAATCATTGCTTCATTTTTGAAAATTCTGGGAAGTTTCTGAGATTTATATATTAATTATTGCAGTTTGGAAAACCAGATGTGAGACAGTTTGGGGGCATAGTGTACATGATAGAATGGCAAATGTGAAAACTCTGAAGAGGACTTTTACTGTGTTATATTTTCCTTTGCTTCATCAAATAAGAGTTATTCAAATAAAAAATGTAACCTCCTGGAGGCCACAATCTACACTGTGTATTTTTTTCAAACCCCCTTATTCCAGGCAAGTAGTAGGATCTAGCAATGCATTTGTTGAAATAAAATGAATCAATTAGTTCCTGTAGTTATTAATGCCAGCAATATTTAAAAGTAGTCGAAAGTCAAGTCATCTGTCTGAAGAAAAAGGGTTTTTATAACTTTTAACTTTATATACATCGAGAGTCTGGAGTGAGCCAAACTTCAAAGCGGACTTTCTTTTTCAGAGAGATGATATCAGTACCAAACACTGATTTTCAGTGTCTTTACTGGTAGAAAAATAACTGAAGATAATCGAGGTTAAACGAAACTTATACTAGGAGAAATAATAACTTTTCACTTATTTGAGAATCTAAGAAATATTAACCATAAAAATAATAAAACACCACAAAAAGTATTAGCGTTATTCTTTTTCTTCAGCTGAGTGATAGGTACATGGTTATTTGTTTTATTATTATTTATACTGTTAATATTTTATTTATGACCCAGTTAATAATAAAATTGGACATAAAAGTAAGTAGTATGGTTTGTGTCATAACTCAATGCCAGTTTAAAGTTCCATTTTGTAGTGAAGGCATTCTATAACTACAGAGTTTAGAGTTTATGCTGCTGTGACTTTTATTAATTATTGCTTGAACAGTATTGGTCATAAAATCCCAAATGAATGTGTAATGCAAAGGTTCAGCTATCTATTTCCTCTTGTGACTCTTTATAGAGTCAAATAACTCATTATGTAGTCAAGCTCTGTAAGAACAATTAAAGCTTTTTGCCTACATGAAGGAAGGCTGATTGTGCCACTGTTTCTTTTGGGTATGCTAGACTTCTGAAGAAACATCCTTCCTCTAGAATTAGTATTTCCGGAGACTGTCAAAATGTTTGATGATTGTGTTACTGGCAAATGTAATGCATATCCCTTGGAATATTGTTAGTGCTCAGTAAATATTAGACTATCAAAAAGAGAACATACTTTTAAACACAAGTTTGTACCTTAGTGTATTAAACTGCTTTCCTGCTTTGGTTATTTTTCTTCCTTGGCAAAGGCAGTAACTTTAAGATCACGCTTTGGCTTACTTTGTATTCTAGGCACTTCATGAAATGCTATTCCTCTCTTTACCTTTCATCCTACACTGTTACATGAGAGGATATACCTTATTCCAGTGAAATCTCGTGGTAACTGAGGATTTCATTATGGTGTATGCCAACATCAAAACATTTTCGTTTGATTTAACAGAGAACAAGAAACTTGTATACAACTGCGGGAACTTTTCCCAGCAGGAACAAGAGGCATATGGTGTGTGTAATAAATAATCTCTTAAAATGACTAAGTTACAAAACTGTCTTGTTTGTGGTTGTGCACATTCTTTCTGAAGTCAAGCTGTCCCACGTTCCTTATCTTTTATTCCTTCAGCTGGCATCATTGGAAACATTGATTGGGAGGTTGGAGACACGTGATTCTAATGGAGATATTCGAACATAATTGCACGGCATTTTGAATCTACAGAGTTACCCTTCTGCATGGCACTAATCCTCTTTAAAATTTCATGCCATGCTGATTTTTATTATATATTTTTATTATATTACTTTTTAAAATGTAGAATGGGCGATGAAAAGCAATGTCCCATTATGGCTAGACTCTATGTGTCATAGTTAGCAGTCTTCTGAGAAAAAATATATGAGTTTTTCATAACCAATTTGGAAAGTAGATAATTAATGAAAATTTTTTGTTTGTAAATATGCTCACAGCAAATTATACAGATGAGGAATACCTTCTTTTTTGCACATTATTTGAGTAAATAAGATCATAGGCTTCTGTTTTAAGATGTGGCCTTTCTGTACTTATAGTGGTTTATCTAACTTAGAGTGATTTATCTTACTTTACTTATCGTGATTTATCTGGCTCTTGCTTTCTTATTCGTTTCGCCTACTTTTTCCCTCCCTTCCCCACCTTCTCTCCTCTTCTCATCTCTTTTCTCTCTCTCACAAGCATGCATGAGCGCACACACACACACACAAACATGCACATTTATTGAATGACTCTGAACACTAATGATACAACAAAGGTACATCTCTGAGTCTTGATGAGTAATGAGTAATTTCTCTGCATAAAATGAAGAAAAGCCGATTAGGTTTCCGATTTTTATATTTTTATCTCAAATAATTTTTCTTTATTTTTATTTTTATTTTTTATAGTACTCTGGTCCTTTATTTGAATTGTATAGAAATAGCATTTTCCTTGTTTTGACTGAGCTATATAATTGAAGAAAGAATAGTTTGCAAGAACAGTACAATTAGTGAATTGCATTGTAGGCTAATAGCAGCACTGTAGCAATAGAACTGTGGGGGATTTTCAGGTGTCAGTGAAAAGCAGCAAGCATAAGGGGGAAATTGAAAATAGTAACTAATCACGTTAATTAGCTTTTTTATTTGAATTATGACAAAATAATACATTTTTCTCTACTTTAGCCTCTGTGTTCCATGCCCGAGAGTACCGAGATAATGAGAAGACAGAAGTACTGCAGTAGTGACAGCAGTTATGATAGTAGCAGCAGCTCTTCAGAATCAGATGAAAATGAAAAAGAAGAGTACCAAAATAAGAAAAGAGAAAAGCAAGTTACTTATAATCTTAAACAGTCCAACCACTACAAATTAATTCAACAATCCAGTAAGTTAATTTCTTCTAATTTAATTATATGAAGAATTATGGAACTGAAATGATGAAACTCAATAAAAGGACCTTGGGCCAAATGAACCTTTGTCATGTGTAAGGAGACCTGGATTCTATCTTACTTCCTTCCCTGACCATTCTGCAATCCTATTCAGAGTCTGCACGTAGAAAAGAAAAGGGTTGAATTAAAGATCTCTGGAGTCCATTCTTCTGTATTTCATAGTTTTTGTTAAGTCCTAGATTTTTGCGTGGATTTATAAAATGTGCCTCATGGCCGATCTGCTGATTCTTTTTTAAGAATTCTTTTTCAAGCCAACATATTCTCTCCATTTCCTGCTTTC